GACTGGGGAAGACTAAGGACAGGCATGCAGCTGCAGATTCATGAGAACCCCAGAGAGATGATGACGGTGGACACCAGACCCCTCATTTAAAAGACACGTTTCCGGCAGTAGACAGAGGGGTTCCAGGGTGAAGACTGGAGCAGGACTGCAGATCCATGGCCCGGCCTCAACACCGGTGACTCCAGAAGACCTGACAGGTGACTCGGCGTCACCAGGTTAAGAGAGGAGCGTCACTGTGGTTCACACAGCTGTGAAGTGCCTGGAGCTTACATAGCGCCCGCCCTCAGGGTCTGGCCGAGAGGAAGCACAGTGAGTAGCGTTGGTTATTCCACAGAGCTAGTGCTCTCTGCAAGAAGCTGGGCTGGGCGTCGCTGTGAAAGGTTGAGTTGGTGCGGGGACAGGCAGAGGACCATCATCTCAGCAACACCTGCCCTTTCGCCACTTCCTGAGGGCTTGTCTGGTCTTCCTGAGGCATCTTCCAGATTGAGGATGTGGCTCAGAGGCAGAGCACATGCTCCACACACGCGAGGCCCAGGGTTTAGTCTCCAGCAGTACAATATGTAAGTATGTATGATATATTTGAGTTTTTTGGGGGGTGGGGGGGCCTTTCCAGTCCCTCCCCCCGCCACACTCAGTAACCCCATCACTTGGCCCACCTCCTCCTTTGAGATATCCTTCCCCTCGTTCATCACCACCCTCGAGGTGCTTATTTAGCTCTCACCTGCTCCCAGGTGCCCAGAGTGTATTGGCATCATCTTGGGAAGTGGGAAGCCAGTAAGAAAAGCCCCCTCTGGCGGTGGTTCTGATCCTGTTATCAGACTTTGGTCTTACTCCAACCAAGAAAACACTCAGGGACAGTGTTCGGGCAACGCTCTGTGAGGGGAGGCAACTGGAAGGAAATCGGGGTTCTTTTGAGCACACGCTCACACACCAGCAAGAATCTCGGAACGCTGTATGCAGTGTGGAGGGCTCTGCCGTACGTGTGGCCTTTCAGAGACAGGAGCAGGAGCGAGCCAACCTTCTCCGCGCCCACTACTGATTCAGTTAGACATGTTCTTCCAGAAGGCCCTCACATAGGAAGGTCTCACGGAGCAGCTTGAAGAACATCCGATACGTTGGCAGCCTGCCGCTGTGGAAGCAAGCAGTGAGGCAGAAAGGGTGTAGAAGGATGACCGTAGAAGCTTGTGAGAGGATAATTGAAGCTGGGCCTTAAGCAGTGAGGGTTTAAAATTGGCAAAGGCAGAAGTAACCATCGTAGCGTGCAAAGAGCACACTGCGAATACTTGACGGCATAAATAATATATTCTAGAGACCAGACCATATTCTACAGCGGGTAGGACGCCTCGTTACATGTAGCTGGCCTGGGTTCGCACCCCATATGGTCCCAAGCCCCTCCAGGAGTGATCCCCCCCTAAGCCCTGAGCACCACTGTTTGTGGCACCCTCGGCCCCCCCAATATTATTTTTTAAATGCTCTCCATTGCCATGTTGGACTTTTCAAAGGCCCTCTTTTCTATCCTAAAAAAAAGAAAAGTAAAGGCCCTCCCGTTGATCATCGATTTGCTCGAGCGGGCCCAGTAACGTCTCCATTGGAGACTTTGTTGTTACTGTGTTTGGCATATCGAATACTCTCGGTAGCTTGCCGGGCTCTCCGAGAGGGGCGGAGGAATCGAACTCGGGTCGGCCATGTTGGCTGCGTGCAAGGCAAACGCCCTGCCGCTGTGCTATCGCTGCAGCCTTTTTTTTTTTTTTTTTTATCCTAACTGGGTTAGAAGGATTTCCTCTCCTTTATTTGGTTCCCTGGACGCCAGTCTCCACACCCAAATCCTAGCTGGACTCATGCCCACCGTCAGAGCCCCTGAAGCAACAGAAGTTTGGGCTATCACTACCCTGTCTCACAAACAAGAACCTGCCTTTGTAGTCTTTGGTGTCCACCCTTGGTTGTATGCAGGGCTAACTCCTGGCTCTACACTCATCTCACTCCTGGCAGGGCTCAGAGTATCACATAAGGGACTGAAACTGGATGGCCCGTGTGCAAGGCAAACTACCGGCTGTACAATTTCTCCTGCCCCAAACCTTCTATTTTTTTTTCTTTTTGGGTCACACCTGGCAATGCACAGGGGCTACACTTGGCTCTTGCACTCAGGAATCACTCCTGGCGGTGCTCGGGGAACCATATGAAATGCTGGGAACTGAACCCGGGTTGGTTGCGTGCAAGGCAAATGCCCTACCCGCTGTGCTATCAATCCAGCCCCACCTTCTGCTATTAAAAATAGTTTCTTCAGGGTCTGGAGCGATAGCACAGCGGGTAGGGCATTTAACTTGCATGCGGCCGACCCAGGTTCGAATCCCAGCATCCCATCTGGTCCCCTGAGCACTGCCAGGAGTAATTCCTGAGTGCAGAGCCAGGAGCAAGCCCTGAGCATCACCGGGTGTGACCCCCTCCCCCCCCCCAAAAAAGTTTCTTCATCCCTACTCCTGTTCTGGGGAACCATATGGAATGCTGGGAACTGAACCCGGGTTGGCTACTCCTGGCCAGTTCTTACTCCTTTCCCGTGCATGGTCAAAGCAAGTGCCAACCAACCATGCACTTTAATACCATTCTGTTATTCCCTTACTCTGGGGGTTGCTTTATTTTTTTGTTTTTTCTTTAAGGGTAGGTTTCAGAAGGCTGAGGAAGTGACTTTGGTAGAGCTTTTTTTTTTTTTTTTTTTTTTACCACAGAAGGCTGTGGTTAAAGCTTTTAAAAATATAACTCAATTTAAAAATTTTATTTTATTAAGGCTCCCTGACATCATTAGTTTTAGGCATACCATGTTCCAACAGCAACTCTCCACCAATGTCAACTTCCATCTGCCAACGTCTCCAGGTTCCCTCCCACTCACTAGCTTGTCTCTGTAACATGCACTTTGATTTTTTAAATTATTGAATCGCCATGAGATAGTTACAAAGCTTTCATGATTGAGTTTCAGTCATACAATGACCAAACACCTATCCCTCCACCAGTGCCCATTCTCCACCACCAATGTTCCCAGTATCCTCCCCCAACCCACATTCCCCCTTTTCTTTCCTGTCCTTATTTCTATTATCTATCCGGATCCTTTGGACACCTTGCATTCCCTTCTCATTAGTCTGTTACAGATGTGAGATCATCTGATATTTGGCCTTCTGATTTCACTTACCACAATCACTTAACAGTTCCATCCAAGTTGCAGTGAATTGCATGATTTCCTCATTCCTGCAGCTGAGTAGTATTCCAACCACACCTGCATTATCCACTCATCTGTCCTTGGATACCCGGGTTCATTCCATAGTCTAGTTATTGTACTAAGTGTGCAATGAATAATGTTCCTTTTGAATATTTTTGTGTCTTGGGGGTAGATGACAAGGCATGGAATTGTTGGGTCAGGTCAGCTCTGTTCTCTGAGGTACTGTGGTAGAGCTCTTGCCTTGCATGTGTGAACACACAAAGAATTCATAATTCATACTGGAGAGATAGTACAGTGGCCAGATGCTTTGCATGTGGCCAGCCGTGGTCTGATCCCTGGCAATGCCCAAGCACAGTGCAAGAGACTCCAAACACTGCCTTTTTCAAAGGGTTGCTGAGCAATTTTTATTCTGAAAAGGAAGCGGTAGGCCAAATATGATTTAGATCTTCTGATTTAAAGGTTTGCCTGCTCTGCAAAACCTTAATTTCCATTAATTAATCTCTCCTGTATCTCTTCAGCGTGGTCATTGTCAACACAAGACAGCTGAATCAGGGTAATGAGTGGTGTCATCTGCTATTCTCTCTCCAAACAGTATCAGACATATGTGCACTCATTAATTAGTGAAATGAAATGTTAGAAGCATAACAAAACATATTTGAAGTGTTTCTTAGTTACAAATAAAGCCTCAAGACATCTTGGAGTGTAGGCTGTACATGATCATTTTTGCCTTGAGGTCACCAGTGATAACTCTGGGGCTACTTCTGGGGTTAGTGCTGGAGTTCCAACGAAGGCCTACAGAATGCAAAGCTAGTTTATTAGCCCTTTGAGCTATCTCCCTGGCACTAAAAGTAATTTTAAAAATCACAAAATCTGTACAATCCAGCAGCTTCCAATTATATTGTTAATGGGCCCTTATGCAACAACACTGAACTGCTGTGTCAGTGGAACAAGTTAACTCTATTTGGTGTTGCCAGGGCACCACAGCTGAGTGGGATTTACCTCCAGACTCTTTATTTCTGTCGTTGTCACCAAGGCAGTGATGAGCAGCACCAAGCTGGCAATTGATGGAGCAACAGTGAGAAAACCTGTGCTCATCTTGTCCTTTCCTTGGGGCAGGCAGAGGTGAAGAGAGCATAGATATGGGGTTGGGATATATCCAAAACGAGTTGAGACCCATGGAGGAGTGAGTTCATACAGAGAGGTTGGATATAGAGTAACCCTGATAGCCACATAGACTATGCCAAATGCAGGCAGATTATATTCCTGGCAAAAAAAAAATAAAAAGTTCAAAATTTTTTCAAAACAAGTTTCATTTGTTTCCAAAGATACTACTTGAGAATTGGGAGAAGTAAAGTTGGGGCCACAGCCAGCAGTGTCCAGGGTCCATTCTTGACTCTGGGGTCAGGGGAAACTTTGGTGCCACCAGGGTTGGTAGGTTGCATCAAGTGCTTTAACCCTTGTGCTAACTCTCTGGCCCAGAGATCTTTTTAAAATACTTATTTTTGCCAAGTGATTATACTGGCTGCTCTCTCATATGACTATTAAAAACTAACTAGGCTAAGGGCACTGAAGGAAATTCACTTCACAAGATTGTCTCTCCGGCAATTTCAAACACCAGAAAAATAAGAATAACCAGAAAACTGGAACGTTATTTTACAGTCTTCACAGTATGTAACAAAAATCTTAAGACGCCAGCTCCAATAATCTTTTATCCCAATCTACAGAAATTACTGTTACCAGGAAAACCTTTCACCACAAACTTATAATTTGTTTTCAATGAAAAAACTCTTAATTTCATAATTTCCATACCACTTTTTTCTTTTTTATTTAAAATATTATAACCAATTAACATACTAGGTAACATTGTTTACATTCCAGTGGTGCATATTTGATGACCAGGGCATGAATGATTCAAAACCACAATAATTATCTCAGCATTCCCTACAATGTGCCCCATTTTGTTCTGTCTAGAGGAGGGAGAGGGCATGGAACACAGGGGAGAGGAATGAAGAAGGAATGGCATAGAGGGAGAAAAAGCAAACGTCCAGTATCATAGTTAGGTTTTCAGGTTTTACAACCTATTGTACAGAATACTCTGTAATGAGAAAATAGATGTCACAGTCCAGGTAGACCGCTAGTTTAGTTTAACTTCATCATTCAGCTAAAAGATTAAGAGCTTCTCAAAAATATACCAAATATCGGGCCTACAAAAGTAATTCATTTCTTCGTAAAATTTACTAAGATTTATTTCTTTTGTAAAATGTAAAGAATGGACTGATATCACGAGCAGGTTTCTACTTACAAAAAACAGTAATCATGTCCAACAACCACATCTAACAATTTTCCAACAACTACGACAGAATCTACACATCTCTCTTACTGATGGCAAGGTATGTATTTTACATACTTAGTGGTATTGTGTTGACATTGGCTATAAAGTACTTAACACATATAATTCACACTCAGTCAAGATCTAACAGGGCAACAGCTTACTTGGGAAAGCATAGAAAATTAGTGTGAGGTAGTTCAATAAAAATCTAATTCATTAGTTATTGTGAGAATAGAACATTGTGCAAAACTAATCCACAGGTAATATTTCTCAAAAGTTTCAGTAACAAAGAGAATCTAAACCAGAAATGGCCAGAAGGTTGTTACTCTTACTAGACTCTCCTTAAGAGCACTTAACTAAGAGCAGTTAGTTTAAAATTAGAACTTTTGTTTTCCTTACGGATTTTGTAATCATACCCCAAACTATACGCTTCTGCTTCAATGCCCTTTACATTATCTTTCTTGCTACAACGGAAAAATTAATTTCCTCTGATTCAGGAAAAACCTAAGAGAGATCAAGAAAAACACACTGTATACTAAAATGTAAAGGATTTGGAGGCAACATTTATAAGGGCTGCTAATGACAGAATGGTGTTGCTTGGTTTTCTACAGTAAGAGAAATTTACTGGGGTCACGGGGCTTCATGCATTCACTCTACAACTACAATGTGACTAATGACCAACACTCACAAACTACAACAGTAATTCTGAAAATAGACTATATTGTGTTTTAACCTCAAAATGTTGTGCAGGCTTGTGCCTAGGCAACAATGAGTTGTTAGGTCTCCATATGTGTAGCACATACTGGCCGGTAGTGTATATCAAGTTTTATCTGTTACCCGGAAACCACTCCACTTGCCTGCCTGCTGCAATTTCTCAGGCATCCTTTTCATCTTTTTAGACAACATAGCAGGATTAGCATAAAACAAAATAACAAACAGGCTGGGGGGGGGGGGGGAGTTTGCTGCTTTACATATAGTTAAAAGCTTCTTTGCAATTAAGGGGATGGGTGTGGGGTAGCCTCATTTAAAAGGCTGGCATTTCTCTTAGAAAATCTGATGTAAACACAGTACCTTTACCAACTTGAAAGATTGCATACCAGAACAATCAGCAGCCAAGGATGTGTGACAAAATGAGAACTGTTGGGCAAACAGATTTGAGATGCTCTACCTCTGTACACTGTGTTTAAGCAGTCCCCCAAACACCATCATTTTTACAAATGATCAGTAATTAGTAGAAGATAAATAATGGAATAGTAATGAGGAAGAAATACATAGAAAGTAGTAGCACAACCAAATTAGTGTAACCTAACCAGAAAGAAAAACCTACAAAAAGCTGAATAACAAATCTTGGTCAAAAGATTTTTTTTTTTCTGGTAGCAAGACAGTGATTGTACTGAATATATTTGAATTCTGAAAATTATATATAACAAAGGTGGCGTTGCATATTTTTCTTTAAAATAACCCAAAATTGGTTATAGTAAAAAAATATCAAAAATAAAAAAGAAACACTGCAGATTCAGGTTAACAGATTTAAGAAAAGAAAAAGCTGCATTTACAAGTCAATGTATTTTTAAAATATATCAGGGCAGGCAACACTAACAGACTTTTTTTTTCAAGGATGTAATTTTAGTACTTTAATTTCCTCCAATAAGGTTTTTCATTTTTTTTCCCCCTGAACAACCAAAACATGCTGACTGGCAAGTGGGAGCTGGCGTTTATAATAAATAATACATAGGAACACCTGGTTTTCTTCACTTAACCAAATCTTTATCAATAGAGATGCTTAAGAAAAAACATAAAACGGGCTGGAGTGACAGCACAGCAGGTAGGGCGTTTGACTTGCACGCGGCCGACCCAGGTTCGATTCCCAGCACCCCATATGGTCCCCTGGGCACTGCCAGGAGTAACCCCTGAGCATCGCCAGGTGTGACCCAAAAAAAGAACAACAACAAAAAAAAGAAAAACAAAATATGGGAAATGGCTGACAGCATGTCAGTTGTTAAAGTGCAATAGTGAAATAATGTCTCTAGAGAAAATAAAGCTAACTGCTAAATTAATAAACTAAGTACACACAAATGCTCAGATTTCTGAAATGGTTAAGTCTCATTCTGTTTCTACAATTCCAAAGGTATTAGTGTAAATCTGTAATCTGCCAAATAAACAATGTGCCACGTTGTACTATGAATAAAAAAGGGACTGATGGAAGACTGATAGTCTTAACAGTGGCTGGAAATCATGACTGTAGACCATTTTAAAAAAATCCTGGTTATTTTCAAAGCATATAAAAGGGGTAATATAGTCTACATATTGCACATTAACAATGACCTAAATAAAATATTCAAAAGGAATCTTTTGAATAAACTTCAGAATAACACGCCTAGTGAACTTTCAATGTACGCTGAGCTTTACCAGTTCCAGCTCCTGTTGGTCATTTCTAATGGACTTTCTGCCGAGAACCTTGTCATTTGAGTATGCACTTCAAGTCGCGATGTGAAATCCCTCATTTCAAAAATGACAAAAAGGTGCCTGGGGAATTACAATGCATTTTAGAGATAAGTAATGAGGCTTCAATGATAGTTCACTTAAGAAAAATTCAGTTATAAGAAATAATCCTGCAGGTATAAAATGTAAACAGTTAACACACACTAGTCAGGAGCAGCACCATTCTTACACTACTCAACATCCACATTGCATGTTTTATTGAAAATCAGATATAAAAAAATGAGACTCAGACAAAATAACCACCACTTATGTCTGCTCTGCTCAATGTGAAGAAACAGTCCTTAGAAAATGATATCCTATAGTATGGCTGTGTGCTACTATTTTCAGATGAACGGTATATTGCTCATTTGATACATCACCTACGTAAACCTAAGTAGGTTTTGGAACCTCCCGAGATCTAGTACAAAGATGATTATGCTACACAGGTAGAATCAAATGGCCAGAAACACCGTGAGAACTGGTGCTCAACTGACTGACACTTTAATAGGAAACTGGAAAGGTCCAAGGGCCCAAGGCTGCAGGACAGGGAAGACCAGACTCTAAACCACTGCTGGGACCTACAGCCTGAGTAGATTAACTCAGTGTATACAAAAACAGGCTCATAGCTAGTAGAAGTGAACCATCTGTTTATTTGCATTGAAATGTATTATTCATGAAGTATCCTCTTGACTTTATGTGATCATAAGCTTTGAGCATGCCACAAATTTGCAGAAAACATCATACTCTCTTAATTTTACTTTTGTCAGGTGAGGTGGGGGGAAAAGAGGGTGATGGTGGCAGATGCCCAGCATCTTCAAAGACATGTTCTGAGCTTTTCTGCCATTTAGATGATGGGGCTTTTTGCCAATATTCATATAGAATTAACTACCAATAGTTCTGTTATATAACTAAATTAAGATTGGCAAGTAGCAAATGTTGGAGGTCTTCAAAACACGTTCACCATTTACAGTAGTTATTCCTGAATATAACTGGCTACAGGTTATTTTCCCTCACTCCTCAGGGTGTAATTTCATCGATAAGCACATAACCCTGAAGGATAGCATCATGAACAAAACATTTAAAATAAATTCTAATAAAAAAAACTATAAAAATCTTAAATAATTCATGATATAGGCAAGTCACCACATAATTGCTTTGATAAACAAAATCTTACAAATTCAGTAAAAAAAAATCAGCAGCATAAGATAAAGCAAATATGCAAAAATTTAAACCATGATAAAATAATTAGGTTTACATTATACAGTTAATTACAGCAAAAATACAATACAGTTTTGTTGCTGTTTTAAAACACAACTTAAGTTTTAAATTACATCACTTGAAATTAAAAAAAATAAACTACTTTACTACAAAATGAATTCTACATTTTTGAAAAATCACTCAAAAATAAGACCACTGAATTGTTTCAAAGTAGTTCTATCAATGACTAAATGACTCCCCATCCCTCCCAGCCTCCCACCTCCCCAAGGCCCAAGTAGTCATCTACAGCAGCCCAGAGGTCCAGCTGATGCTTCCAGACTGCTGTCTGTATCCGAGGCCAAAGTCGGTTCTGTTGACATCGAAGACACATCATTGACAGACGACGATGACGATGGATGCTGAGAGCCATTGATCACTGCTGCACCTGTGCTATGAGAAACAAAACAGCAAATCAGTTGCAGACAGAGTCACATGCTGAACGACGTATACTGTACTGACTGCCTCTTGTGACAAATAGTTTTTTCTTGGGTTCATTAATGAGATTCACAAAACAAAACAGCAACTTACAAATCACCCTTCACGCTAAGTTAAAATGTAAAGTACTGCTCTTTTCTCAAAAACTGTTCAGTTCAAGACTTTGCTGAACAGATCTCAAAGGGACATGTCACCGGAAAAACTAAAAAATCCTTGTTCAATAAAAATGATTTATGGTATTTTCTCACTGTAAATTCCAAACAAGACTTCTGGTATATCCTGTTATTTATTTGGGGTCTAATCAGTATTAATTGGGAACACTCCTGGCAATGCAAGCCTCCTGATGGTTTAGGAAATGGCCTGGCAATGTGGTACTATTAGGGTCTAGCAGTGATAAGGTGATCAGAGCTAACCCAGCAGTGCCTGGTGCCAGGGTTGGTTTGAACATGGGTGAGCTCTAATTCTCAAAAAAAAAAAAAAAAAAAGCCCCAGCCCCAGGTACATCTTGTTCTAAAGTGTAAGTTAAGGCTTTTAGTAAGATCACTTTATAAAGAGGTCTTAGTTCAACTGCTTCAGTTACATGATCTCCACATTCACTGAAGTGCCACAGATTATATCTAGGTAGAACACTTCATGACACTGAATTTAGAGGTATCTTTAATGATACAATGCCACTGGTTAAACAAATGGAAGCTAAGTAGGACTATTTTCAAACTAAGAATCTTCTGTACCACAAAGGAAATGACAACCAGAATAAAGACACCCTATAGCCTGGAGAAGAATATTTGCACACCACTCCACCACTTATCACCAGTGCATATCCAAGGTATATAAAGTACTGATTGAACTTTACGAGAAAAACTCCACCCCCATCAATAAATGGAGGAAGAGATGAACAGAAACTCCCTCAAAGAAGACACAGAGATAGCCAAAAAGTCTATGAGAAAATGCTCTGCATCACTCATCACTAGAAAAATGGGAATCAAAACAACAAGGAGGTATCACTGAGACTGGCATATGTGAGACTGGCACACATAACAAAACAATTAGTGCTGGTAGTGATGTGGGGGACAAGAAACCTCAATCACAATGGTAGGAATGTTGACTAGTCCAGCAATTCCACTTCTAGGCAATCTACCCTTCAACTGAAGCCACAGTACAGCAGGTAGAGAGTAGTTACTTGTCTTGAATATGGCTGACCCAATTTTGATTCCTGGGCACAGAGTCAGCACTAAGCACTACCCCCCACCATGCCTCCCCCCTACCCCAATTAAAAAATCCTCTATTCAGAAAAGCACCACTAAGGTCATTGTAGCATTACTCACAGTAGCCAAAATCTACAAACAACCCGAAGTATGATGTGTGTGTGCGCACGCACGCACGCGCACACACACACACACACACAGACACACACACACACAGGAGTATTAGTTGGCTTTAAGAAAAGATGAAATCACGCACTTCACTACTATGTGGATAGATCTGGAGAGTATTATGCTGAGTGAAGTTAGGAGAGGGATCACATTCAGAGAGGACACAGAATGATCTGTCATCTGTAGGATATAAAGAATCAGTAATAAATGCATGGTCTTCAGGTGGGGTGTGTGTGTGTGTGTGTTGTAGGAAAGTTTCCAGTGGTGGTTGAAGGTGTGTATGCATGAAATTCTACATTAACAGTTCTGTAAATAAAGAGAGTGCACGCGCAGCTAGATAGTAGTGACAGAATTTTATTTCACTTTGTTTTTCTGGTTCATTCAGGATTTGGGGGACAAAAGCTATGGAAAGAATTTTTAAGAACTACTTGCCTTTATAGTGCAATAAAAATCACATCTGAAACTAGTTTTATTTAAAATCTTTCCCAATAAAATAAGATGCCAAAAGTTGTGTCTTAAGATGTCAAGTTTTGCCTAAACAGAAGAGTTCTAAGAGAAATGATTAAAACTATACAGTCTTAATCACATTTAAGACCTATCTGTTAAAATTACTGACCCTTCAAGTATCGCTCAAATTTCATCTCATCCTTAACACTATCCTAATATGCCTATGTTCCCAGTGTCAGTCAGAAGCCACTTGAGATGCCAAAAAACCCAGGCATTATTCTGTTTGTTGTTATTTTTTGGGCTACACATACAATGCTCAAGGCGTATTCCTGACTCTGTGCTCAGGAGACCATGAGTGCCAGGGATCAAACTCAGGTTGGCCACATGCAATGCAAGCGCCCTGTCCACTGCACTATCACTCCATCCCGAATCCGAACCCACGCTTTTTTTTTTTACTGCTTTTTGGGTCACACCCAGCAATGTTCAGGGGTTACTCCTAGTTCTGCACATAGGAATTACCTAGTGTACTATCACTCTGGCCCCAATCCAGGCATTCTTAAGTGACTGATAAGCTCCAAGTATTAGTTCTTCTACATAAAAGATTTGTAATATGTCCCTCAATTTCTCTGAATTTTAGTTTATCTTTAAAATGGGATTAATAATATCTCTGACGGGTTTTGAGAATGGTAGTTTATTCAGCTCCCAATCACGCAATATATACTTAATATTTACATGTTACCCAAAACTTAAAAGTTTCTCTTCAAGTCATTTTACCTTTTACAAAGATACTTAAATGTAAGATGACCTATGAAAAAAACGTTTAACTCATGTATCCAGTTGTATTATTAAAGGACAAATAATTTCTAATGGGGATGTCATTACTACTGCCTTTTGTTAACTAATAAATAAGACCAAGATAAAAACGTAACCTGGCATGGCATGTAGCAAACATTGCACCAAAGCTTTAGCTTATTTAAAAATGAATATAATCATAGAAAGTAAATATATTGAGTTGCAAAATATTTCTTCTGTAAAGACAAATAACAATGCTATCAGAAAAGTTTCAAATTTCTGTTCTAAGTATCACAGAAAAAAGATACACATTTTAATGAATTCAGTTACTAATACAGTAGGTATGATGAACGAGTACAGTGTACCAGTCCTTTCAACTTTCCGCTTAAACTTTATACTTACAAAACTTTAATTAGCAATAAATATGAAAAGAACTAAGGTTTTGGCTTGAAGGAAAAATTATGAAATGTAAGAAGAAAGCTTAACCAAGATTATATTGTAACCAACCTAAAGGAGAGGGTTGCCCTCGTATAACTCCATTCTTGGTTCTCTCCTCTAAGTCCATAACTTCCTTGTATATCAATTCTGAAAAAGAATAAAAAGAAACCTTTCAAAGTCAAAATGCCAATCTCAGAAGGTACGTATGTTTTAAGTAAAAAATTTTCCACAGTTTTTCTTACTCTGTGTCTTTTATACTACATATCATGCTATATTATAATACTTGTTTGGTTTTGTCTCAGAGAAGGCTTGCTCCACATTTTCCCGCCCCTCTGAAAATGACTTCTACTTCCTGAGCCCTTGCATAGCATGTTGTAGATGTTTAACAAGGTAAGACTTAAGTCCAAAGTATATGTAAGTTTTTGAATCAGAATGCAGTATTAAAGGGAAAGAAGACAGTGGCTCAACTTCAATTCCTTATGAACTGAAATATGAAAACGCTATTGGAGTCAAGATTTTCTTCATAGCAACCTTATTCTTTTATTAAAAGATGATTTTTATAGGTCAGACAACATGATTACCAGTGTTAACATTTATGGTTATGATGTTCGAAATTATTGCACCTTGACTACCACCAAAGTCCCCAAGATCCTTAACTACGATCCTCATGTCATTTCTAGTCCACCTCTTCTCCCCCAACCTCCCACCCCAACTCTACTGCTTAATAATCTCAGTTTTATGATCCAAGGCCAAGGGTTTGTAAGCACTTGGTACTATGTCCCTGTTTTGTCTCTCCATATACCACAGCGAGTGTGAGGTCATTGTAGGTCCTCTCTCTTGTCCCCTCTTGACTTATTTTTCTTATTAATAATGCCCATCTCACCTAAGTTGCAGCAAACTAAAAGATTTAACCTTTTGGGGGGCAGGTCCCGGTTATGAGTAAGTACAAGTATAAGCAAATTAGTTCCTTAACTCCTGTACTATCACAATGGCCCTCATCTTTTCTTATAGCTTAGTATTACACTACAACTTTATCTCTTCTTCTGTTGGGAACCTTGCTCTTACTAGACTTCCTGACAGTGGTAGATTGTTATGAGACTACTTCCACTAAAGAAGCCACACCAGGTGCTGTCTTGCTGGTATACACAATTTGTCATATGTTCTCCAATTCAATGCTTTTTAACTTTATTATACCTGTAGAACTGTATTAGTTAGTCTGTATACTAGCAGTTAAAAAACAACTCTGTTCAGTGATGATAAATAAAACAGGGACAGATATCTCCCTCCCCCACCATTGGTGCAAAATTTCTGTGCACCAGCAGGATTAAAAACTAAGTAACCCTGATGTCAACTGTGACACTTCTTGTGAGTGTGAATTATCTAAAAAGAATCTTCTAGGGTCAGTAAGATAACTGTGCATGCTTGAATGCCAGACACCTGGGTTCAAAGCCAGCAGTGGTATGAGCGCTTCCAGGAGCAACTCCTGAGGCACCAGGCTAGGAGTAGGCCCTAACCACTGCTGGGTGTGGCCCCAAAGCTAGAAACAGAGCATATAAATTTTCTAGTACATGATACCTTGGGATTATTCATCATCTCTGGGCCATGAAATCCTTTGAAAATTGCATAAAAAGAATGAAACTTCTGAGAAAAATGCACAAGTAAAACATGTTGCAAAATTTTAAGAAGGCCGTAATTACTTAAAACTTTCGATTGTGTTGGTAATAACCAAGTGGATATGTTAGAATGAGTAAGAGCTAGAGACACAATTTTGCTCGGTATGTTAGTTTTCTTAGGTATGGAAGAAATACAGTCTTAATAGAGAAAGAAACGAAGAGAATTTCCTTTAAAGAAATAAAAATGAGTAAGAGGTGAATAAAATAGTAGGGGGTTAAATCACAAATCAGTTATGCACCAATCTCCTCTGCATCGCCCGCCCAGCCCTATCCCTAACCCTGGTTGAATCTCCAGAGCCACATGGTACTTGGAATATCACTGGGTGTGGTCCTGGTGGTCTTTGGCACCACAGGTCCAAAGAACATCATTGTATCATTTGGCCTTCATTCCCAATGCTCCAGTCTGGTTGACCAAGACTGGTTCCTGAACACCCTGAAGTTCCTCCAGGCCCCACAAAATAACAAAAAAAGAATAAGTATTTCAGACAAGAGGAAATAAAAAACAAATGAGAATAAAACCAGCACTCCTTTGTGAAAATACACTAAGGCAAAGGAACAAAAGCTATTTCTAACTAGACAATCAGTAATTAACACTGCTTTTGGCAATACAATGCATTTTTATTTTTGATTCTTTTTTGTTTTTTGAGTGTCACGAGACCAAAACCAGGGGCTCACAAACACAAAGTAAGTGCTCTACCACTGAGATATATCCCTGGTCAATGCTAAAACTCTTGGACAGATCTTCAAAAAGGCAATATGGAGATAATTTGAGCTACACTTTGGGATAAGAGGAAAAGATATAAAACAAATGTGCTGGGGATTAAACGTGGGCTGGCCATGTGCAAGGGAAGAGCCCCACCCTGACCACCATACTATTTCTTCAGCCCTTGAAATACACATTCTTATTTTATAATTGGTGGACAATTAACATTCTAAATCACACTTTAAGCACAAATTATACACAGAAATACTGATTTAGATACATATTCTAATTACATATATATGCATATATTTTGGGGGGGTGGGAATGGGGTTTGGAGTCTGTTATGGGCCAGACCCAACAGTGCTCAGGGGACATATGGGATGCCAGCTGAGTGCAAGCGCCCTACCCACTAAACTATATCCCGAGCCCCTATTTATTACATATACAGATGCACCAGATTCCACCCATTTCTAGAATTCTTGTAAGCCCCGTGAGCTTAAATTTACGTTTCCCAAAGTCAACTTTGAGAAAACAGTCTTTAAATTTCCCCAAGTATGTCCCCCTTCCCTTCCACTTAGTAACAAGTCTTCTGTCTTGGTTTTAAGACCAGGTGTGTTTACAGTCAGGCAAACACAAAGAAATAAAACAGTAGGGCTGAATAACTTGTCCAAGTCACACAACTACAAAAGTGTTACAATCTTACACAAAACAGTAGTTTTGGAATATTCTTCATGGTAAGAAAAATGCTTGGCAAGCTTTTATTCTTCCAGCTTTTGACATGATAAATGACAGTAAATGACAACACACATGACAGGTAAACAGAAACTAAAGATTACCTGTAAACAGAAACAAAAAATTGGCAAAATGCTCCAGGGAATCTTTTGAAGAATTACTTTAGCATCTTCATGCTATAAAAGCATCATTAATTTCAATCAACCATATTCATAAAACGTAAGGTTTATAAATATTAAAAACTTTAAGCACGATCGTGGGACTAAATATTCTCATACAATGCTACTAGAAGAGCAAGTTGCACAACTTCTATGGAGAATAACAAATCAGTAGTAACAAAAAATTATCAGTTGGCCAAGGCAAATCTCCTTTCGGGGTTTTATTTACAGGGGTAAGTGTACAAAAGAACACCTGAGTTGTTTTTAACAACAGGACTTAAACGATCTTCAAGGGAAGTCTGATATAGAAACTGTAGCACAGCTATAAAGCAGAACAGTAGGCAGTTTATCAAACCAAGCATCTGTGATTAAAACAAGGTGGGAGAGAAGAAAATGGTGGGGGTGGGGAAAGTACCAAACACACAAGTTTTCATGTTTGGAAGCTGGAAGAAGATGAAAAGTTCCAAAAAAGAGCGAATACATCTATGTCTAGGGTGGGGACTGTAAGAAATTAGGATTAAGTCAGGAAGGGAAGACTTTCTACTTATGTAAAAATGTTAGTGACCATGCTACCAAATATTACTTATGAAAAACAAAAAAATCTTGAACTTGTCAAACATGATGAACAAACCAACTTTAAAAACAGAAGTTCCTTCAGCTTTGCATCTAAGAATCTGATGAACATTACCTTTCCATTCTTCTATTGTGTGTTCTCTTTCATCTAATTGCTTGTCAGGTATCTTTGGTGGTGGCTAAAAACCATAAGGAAACAATTTCTAAGTCAGATTATTGAGAGTATATAAATTATTTATAACTATATGAAATATTCAGCAGAAGATATAAAAATATCATTTAACAAAGACCCACCAGTCATTGGCAATCTTACACAAAGACAGTAGTTTTGGAATATTCTTCATGGTAAAAAAAATGCTTGGCAATCTTTTACTCTTCCAGCTTTTGACATGATAATATTTTATGTAATACTATGAATTGGATACTACTTTATAAGGGAGTTAAGATGATTTCACAGAGTATTCAATATTGCAGTTCCTCAGGTCAAGTGACTATTTTGTGTTAAGTGGTTGGTTATGCTAATTAAGATACTCTTCATACAAAAACCAGAAACTTACAGTCGTCACTTATCAGTATTTTTATTTAAAATTTAAAGATCTCCTGGTGGAGCCATAGGGCATTTGCCTTGCATGCTGCTGACCTCAGTTCCATTTCCAGGATTCCATATGGTACCCTGAGCACCACCAGAGGTTAATTCCTGCCAGGACTAATCCCTGAGCATTGCTGGGTGTGGGTCCTCTCCCCCCCCCCCCCCCCCCGCAGCAAAACAAAACAAAAAACCTTAAAAAAACAATCTCCTGGGCTGGAAAAATAGTTAAGGATTTTCCTTGCAGGCAGCTGACCCTAGTTCAATCCCCAGCACCATGTGGTTCCCTGAGCACTGATGGGAGTGACTTGAGGAATAGTCCACCAAATCCCAAAGTGCCCCTCCCAACAAACGACCCAAATATACTCCAAATTAATTCTGAGAGCACGATACTTGCAAACATTAAGAAAAGGACTTACAGCTTCTGCTTCAGAAGGATCATACCAAACGTTGATATATGGGTGCTGAAGAGCTTCATCTACAGAGATCCTTTTAGAGGCATCAATAACCAGCATTTTGGATAACAAATCCCTTGCCTGACTGGCTGCAAAAATAATGTTAATGTACACATATCTTACAAAGGATTTTTAAAGCATCAATACATTTCTGAAATCTGAATTATGGTTAAACTATGTTTGGGCTGGAGAGACAGCACATGGTAAGGCCTTGCATGCAGCGAACCTGGGTTTGGTTCATGTCTCCCCTACCATCCCCCAGCCCCATCAAGAGTCATCCATGAGTACAGAGTCAGAAGTAAGCCTGAGCACTGCAGAAGGTGACCCCAAAACTTCAAAAAGAAAGTAAATGTTATAAAAAAGAATAAATTTAACTAGAAATTTGGCCATAAAAATAAAAAGTTACAGAAAACTAAAACCTGCCTTTGTTTCACAGAAAACCTGAATTTATGTTCCTTAAAAACATGAACATACACCCACACCCAGAGAATTAAAACATATTGTTTATAAAAAGTACCTTTAAGTTTATTGTGTTCTGAGTCAGCTGGGAAAAGTACATCGGGGAAGAGTTTCTCAAAGCTATATCCAGCATATTTAGGTCTGTTTTCAACATAAGTCCTTACTGTTGGTTGTAGTTTCTTCATGAATTCAGGACATGGCGTTCCAAGCTGTTCAATAACTTTATTCCACTGATCAATATCTAGTATCAAGTAGCTAAGAAAAATACTCCATATCTAATGTTCAAAACATTGGTCATTTCCACATTAAAATAACAAGAAAATGAAAATAAAAACACCCTAAGAAAGAATGTGGCAGTTATAAATCTTTTATCTGTTAGCCACCTTGCAAAAGACAGTGATTGTAGGTGGACAGAAAGAAGCAACCAACAAGTTTTGTTAACTTTAATTCATCGTGTGAGTATGTGTCTACTGATACTGACTTTACCATAAAAACAGGAATTAAAGCTCACAAATTCTAAATATAAATGTTATGGGACTCAAAGCATAATGATAATTACCATGTATAGTTTAACTCAAAATGTAAACTCCACACAATTCTAGAATACAAAATTTGCCTTTTTTGCTTATCAAAAAATAAGAATGCAGGGCTGGAGCAATAGTGCAGTGGGTAGGATGTTTGCAAGCAATCAACCTGGATTTGATTCCTCAACAAGCCATATGATACTCTAGGCCCACCAGAAGTGATCCCTGAGCACAGATCCAGGAATAAGCACTGAGCATAGCTGGGTGTGGCCCGCTTCACCACAAAAAGTAATTCTGAGGGCATTTCTTAGAGGTAAAAAATATTTTATACTTAGTCCTGGTATTTTACCTTTTATACCAAAAGAAAATAACCAGAAGCAATAAAAATCATGGCTCTGACAAAAATGGCTTTTTAATTTTTTGGACGCTTTTTGGGCCATACCCAGCAGTACTAGAGTCTTAACTAATGGCCTTGTACTCATGGATCACTCCTGGTGGAGTTAGGGGGACCATATGCGGTGCTAAGGCTTGAACCTAGATCAGGCAAGTGCTTTACACAGCGCACTATCTCTGGTCCCTTACCATCTTCAATAGTTTGTGTTATTAAATATTTTTTTAAAAACTCCAACACATATGCAAATGACTTAGTACTTAGGTAATGTATAAAGTCAAGACTTTCTGGAATCAAAGGAACAGTACAGTGGGTAAGGGCACTTGCCTTGCATGCGGTCAACCTGGTTTGATCCCCCACTCCCCATATAGACCCCTGTGCCCCCCAGGAGTCATACCCAAGTGTAGTCAGGAGTCAGTCCTGAGCACAGCTGAGTGTGGCCCAAATCCCTCACTCCCCCAAACCAAAAAGTTCTAGTCACTTTCTTCCTGATCTTTGTATTTCATATTCCCTAAATTTTCTTACTATAATAACCTGATTAACATCTTCTCTATTCCTTCCACTAAAATAATTTCAAGTACTTTTTTTTTTTTTTTGCTTTCTGGGTCATACCCAGCAATGAATAGGGGTTACTCCTGGCTCTGCACTCAGGAATCACTCCTGGAGGTGCTCAGGGGATCATATGGGATGCTGAGAATCGAACCTGGTTTGACCGTGTGCAAGGCAAACACCCTACCCACTGTGCTATCGCTCCAGCCCCTCAGGTACTTATTTAATAAAAAACACAAAGCGAAATTTATCCATCATCATATAAAACTATTACTACAGAAATTCCGAGGGGAAAGATCATTGATATGTTCAGTAATGAGACAACAACTAAAAGGCACAAAACACATAAAACAACAAAAAGGGAGGTGGGAGAGACAAAATAAAAAGATGAACGAAAGCAACAGATAATCCAAAATGTATATTAAACCCTAAGTACGTCTAAACTGACCCAAGCGTAATTATTAGAAAATTTTAATGCAAGCCATGGTTTTTGATTTAGGTTAGATAAATCAACTCAAAGCCAGCAAGTAATTATGGAAAACTAGGCAAGATGTTTTCAGAATTAACAGAGGAAACAACAAATGAGGGAAAGGAAAATCTATGTCAAAAAGCAGGTGGTATTTTGAAAGAGCAATTTAGTGTTACTTGTATTAGGGAGAGACAAAATACATTATACCTGACCAAGCTTTAGTGCTGTCTTACATTTTTGACCTTTAGAAAACTACATTTTAGGCCAAAGATAAGGATACGATCTGTACCTGGGAACAAAACACCACCTTTGATCATTTCTCCCATGATGCACCCAACTGACCAAATGTCAACTGAAAACAAAATGCAATGACATTAACATAAAGATTTTGGTTAAAATAAAAAACATAAAAAAAAACACACATACACCATGTATACTTCAAAATTATAAAAGCAGTATAAAATAAAAGTGACTGACAGTGAATGGGCTCTAACTACCAGCAGAGACTGTATGTCCTACTGCCAGATGCAGCCTACAAATATTTCTGCTTCTTACTCAACAATTTTTGAACTATAACAGCCACAAACTTATGTCTTTAAAAAACAAAACAAAACATATGTATGAATGTATCATTTTCATTAGATAACATAAGGAAATTAATCATCTAACTAATTAAACTGCTGCAGCAGCACAAGGATACAGTCCCTTCCTGGAAAGAGGATTTTGTGGCAAACCATTTCTCCCATAATGCACCCCACAGACCATAAATCCACTATATGTATGCAGCACAAAAGAAGGAAAAGCAAAGCAAACGGTTGTTAAAATCAAAAAAGCATAATATGACTGCATTATATAAAAACTGCAAAACACCACAGAAAGAAAAAAAGGTGATTTTAACTTTAGCTAATGGAATAATTTAAAAACACAAAATATTTTTCAAAAGGCTTGATTCACAAAAGCGAATGTGAAAGTGTGGCCTTTTAACTACATATCTAATTTAAAGTGAGAGCTTTGCACAGAAACAACATAAATAAAAAGATCCAGACATTTTGTTCTTGAAAATCTGATTATAAAATATGAAACAGAATCAACACACACTTTAAACAAGTCTGAAAATTTAAACAAGGTAGTAAAATCAAGATCCTGATATTATTTGAAGTTCTACTGTGCATTTTGCTCTCTCTTTAAGTTAAATAAAAGAAAAAAGCATGAGCAAAATAATTTATTATATTAAAATATTTAACAGAAAACATTTCTAAGAATAATTACAATAAAAGATTCACTTAATGCTCTTCAGAATCTCAAACTGGTTCATAAGCTGTTTTCAAATATACTGTGTTTATCAACATCAAGCTACATTTACTCTACATTAATCCAATAAACAAATGTATAGCAAATGAACAAAAGCTCCAAAAAAATTAGTGAAGGAAGTATGATTTAAAATTTTATACTTCAAGTTGTTTTTAAGTCCTTAAGTTCAAATTATTTTTGGTCCATGACAGCAGTTATGTCAGGATATAATATGAAAGTTCTCATAGACTATTACTACCTAAGTCTCCTAGTTGACTTCCTAATCCTCATCAAGTTTAAATGGGAACTCTACTCAATGCTGAAATCAATCAACTAGACATAAAAGTGGGTAACTTGCAAATTCCTATCAGTCTCATTCAAACATCGGACCCGAGTTTTTAAAAAAATTTTAAACTGGTGGAGGGATGGGTATTTGACCACTGTATAATTGAAACCCAAGCACAAAAATTTGTAAGTCTACAACTGTGCCTTCATGGTATCTCACTAATAAAAATTAAAAAAAAAAAATTTAATGGGGTCACACCCACTCAACAGTGCTTGGAAAGCCCTGGGTAATTCCTTGAGATTCTTGGCTTGGTATTTCAGATCAGATGGTTCAACACTTAGATTTGTGGTGACTGGGGACCATGAGGACTATATCCAGTGTGCAGGGGGGATAGTAAGTGTCAGGACCTTGTATGTCGTTCTACTTTGTGGAGGCATAACCCTAGCCCTGGGTCACCTTTTAAAAGGTATTTTTAAACTAATTACGAATGTTGCAAATATGAATGCTACCAGGTCATATACAAAATCAATTTACAGGAGAATAACTGCTCAATTTATTAGTTTAAATATATTTAATTACATCGCTTCTGGAAGGCTTCTAGGATTCTTGCAATGAGGGACACGGGGTTGAAGAGATAGTAGAAAAGGTAGAGCACTGTTATGTGGCCAACCCAGGTTCAATCTCTGGTACTCAATACGGTTTTGCTAAGTGTCACCAGGAGTGATCCCTCGGCATAAAGCCAGGAGTAAGCACTGGGCATCACCAGGTGTAGCCCCTAAACAAAATGAAACAAAGATGAGAGATAAATTTTTTTAAAAAGGAGCCAGGGAAATAGCTCCAATGGATGGAGGACATGTGTGCCTTGTATGCGTGATGCACCTAGTTCCCTCTCCAAGTGACCCATTTGGTCCCTGCTGGGAATCACTCAGAGGTCACCGAGTACTGCTTAGGAGCCCACCACCTCCAAACAAATTCCCCAAAATAAGCTGTTAAAAAGAGGTGGCAGGAAAATGAGTGGAGTATGTCACTAAAAGAAAAAAAGACCTTAAATTTAGCCTTGAAGAATAAAATAGTTAATCATCATCCTATTTTGACTTGTGGTCAACTTAAGTCGGGGCATTCTTAATTTAATTTTCTAGGGTGGGACAAAACATTAACCTACATTATTCTTACCAAGGAAAAATATTATGTCAATAATTTCCCTGTTATTCTTTTATTTCTAATAGAAATCTATGTTCTAAGATTATAGTTATAGGACTGATAAAACCATATGTCAAGATGTTTGTGACAATAAGTGGTTTAAAAGCAAATGTAAGAGAAAACTTCATGCTGGTCACATTAAGTATAAATTCTTCAGTTAAGAAAAAGTGCTAATTCTAAGTCCTTGTATGGAATCCAACTTACTGGATTCTACACAGTAAAAGGCAAATTTTAAAGTAGAGAGCAAGAAAATAACCACACTATTAAGAGCAAAATAATAATAGTGACAGTACATGTTTTAAGTATGTTTTTAATTAACTCAAGAAAGAAAAGAAAACCTAAAGTGCTTAGTTCAATATTACCTTTTATAAGAAGAATCTTTTTGTTTTGGGGCCACACCCAGTACTAACTCAGAAGCTATTCCTAACAGTGCTCAGGGGACAATGGTGCCAGGGATTGAATCTGGGCCTCTAGCATGCAAAGCATGTGCACTATATAAAGAAAAAAAAATCAAGGGCTATCTTAATAGAGTCTTACAGTAGTGCCTAAAGTTTCTGCTAACACTAGTTTTATGGAGGTAAAAATATGTGCAAATATTACAAAGCAAACCAGGATTTCTATTTAAGAAAACAAGCTATTAGCACTAAATACTTCCTTGAGCTAAGTAAGAAATGCTCATTTTCCAGTTATAGACAAGCAGATAGCATATATTCTGCTCCAGGTCATGGCAACAAATTCTTTATCCGATGATAATACTTCTGTTTTGTATTTGAATTTAAATAAAAAGGGTCCATGTTTTTCCTGAACATTTGTAAGAACATTTATAAATTTCAACTCTTGAAAATGTTTTAACTACATACATTTAACTCAGTGTACTTCAGCTTCGATATTTACATAAGAAATATGATAACCAGAAGTAAATAAATCAGAATAGTTTAAGTAAATGGTATTTGCTGACCGTTTTCTTTGTAGCCCATCCCTAGGATGACCTCTGGTGCTCTGTAGTATCGGGTCACCACATAAGGTGTCATCATAAAACTAGTTCCTGCAGTTCTGGCCAGTCCAAAGTCAAGAATCTTCAAAGTGCAGTCTGATTTTACTACTATATTACTGGGCTTTAAGTCCTTCCAAAAAGAAAAAAAAAAGTTAAGAAATATACAAATATTTTACATAGTCCATTGTCACTGTCACTGTCCTCCCGTTGTTCATCGATTTGCTCGAGCAGGCCCAGTAACGTCTCCATTGGAGACTTTTGTTGCTACTGTGTTTGAAATATCGAGTACGTCAACGGGGAGCTTGTCAGGCTCTGCTGTGCAGGCGAGATCCTCTCGGTAGCTTGCCGGGCTCTCCGTATCACCTGTAAAATAATTTCTCCTGCTTTTCGTCCCCCAAGCTGAGCGGGTCTCTTCTCCCCACCCAGATATTTTTTCTCCATAGCAGAGTATCCTGCCCACACGGCAGAGCCTGGAAAACTCCCCATGGCGTATTCGATATGCCAAAAACAGTAACAACAAGTCTCACAATGGAGACGTTACTAGTGCCCGCTCGAGCAAATCGATGAACAACGGGAGGACAGTACTAGAGTACAGTACCAAATATAAGCAAGATAATCTGGTTTAAAATAATTTGTCTTTCTCCTCTGGCATCTATTGCTTAGCATGATCATACTAGTATCATTATGTTTTACCAAAAAGCAAGGTTTTCATGTTCCTTTGAAATTAGTAGCATTCCATAACAAATATATGTAATTAAAAAACAAAAACAAAAACAAAACAACCAGTTTCTCCTTATTGTTCATTTCCCTTACTATAAACTGACATAACAGCACAAATTCATAATAGCAAACCCGAAAAATCAGCTTGATAAAAACAGAGCAAAATATGGCATTTATAAAAACAGAGCAAAATCAATAATTTGTTTACTAAAAATTATGATTAGGAATGTTTGTGTTATTTTTGGGTGGGCACACTTGGCAGCGTTCAGGGGCCCCTTATTGGGGTGCTGGGGATCGAACTCGGGTCAGTCACGTGCTAGGGAAATTTTCCACCTGCTGTACTGTAACTTTGGTCTTGTACCTGGCTTTTAACAATTTGATTACAATGAGTCCAGAACAGATGCCTTTTAAAAAATTATTATTATTGTCAATCTGCTAGCATAAATAAATAAATAATACTAAGTAAAGTTCTTCAGGTGGAAATAAAGGTGCTAGGCAGTAACTTGAAGTCATATTAATTTGTGCTATATGTTAATGCAGTTAAATTGGTAAGTCCAGCAGCACTGTATTTTCAGCTTCTAACTTCTATTTCTTGCCTATCTGAACTGAAAAACAAATATATTAAATGACAATCAGAAACCAATTCTAAATGGACACACAGGGTACAAACATGTGACCCTTTTTTTGGGGGGGAGGGGAAGAGTTTTTTCCTTTTTAACTGAATCACAGTGAGATACACAGATACAAAAGTTACAGCAATTGGGTTTCTGTCATACTATGTTCCAACACCTGTCCCTCTACTAGCGTACATTTCCCACACCAATGTCCCCAGTATCCCTCCCTCATTCCCTCCCTCCACCCCTCCTTTTAGGTAGCATGGTTTGCAAGGGTTTTTGAGAACATAAAGAGGGAGGACAGATTGACTGAAGCTACAGTTAACTCAAGACATACTATAGTAAGGTTAATTATAATCTGCAAGGTAACCTTTAAGAAAATAAACTAAAAAATATAAAGAAAATGAGAGTCAGTGGCACATGATAAAAAACATAAAACAAAGAAAAGCAGTAGTGAAGTAGGATCAAAAATCAAATATCTGGAGAACAAAAAACACAGTAGTTTTACATGTAGGTCGATTAAGCTCTCTAGCCAAGAGAGAATGGCAAAGCTAGTCCTACTGCAAATTATCTACAGGAGACTCACTTTTGATAAAAATATAAATAAACAAATCTGGAAAATAAAATAATGATAAAAACCATTTCACATAAATAGAAGCCAACAGAGAGATTAGTACCTACAGCAGACAAAAGCTGCAATTCACTATCTGTAAGGGAAAAAAGGAGCGCGCGCTCTCTCTCTCTCTCTCTCTCTCTCTCTCCCACCCCCCTTTCTCTCCTTTCTCTCTTTCTCTCCTCTCTCCACATAACATATATCCACAATATATACATCCATCAACAAAAGATACACGATTACCGACATAAGTGAAAGGAAAGTTATAAAGTAATAGCTGGGGACTTTTACAACTTACTTTCACTAATCAAGAACAGGAAAGCAAATAAAGAATGTGAACACTATAAATCAAAATAGACATAACATATATAAAATGGTCTCCTCTAAAATACAGTAATTTCTTTTTCTCAAGTGCACATGGTACATTTTTCAGGATACACCATATGTACAATAGGTCATAGTACAAGTCTCAATGAATCTAAAAGAACTTCAAAATCATACAAAGTATCTTTTCTGACCACAATGGAATAAAAGTAGAAATCAAACAAAAAGTTTTCAAAATCCAAAATCTTTGAGAAAATTAAACACATTCTTAAATAACTTATTAAGTCAAAGAGTAATCAAGGAAATAAAAAAGATACTTTGAGTAGTGAAAACAAGTATCAAAATTTAAAACAAAAAAAGCAGTTTACAGTTGGCACCTTTATTTGGAAAGAAAAGCCAAGTGGACAGCAAAGTGGTAGAGTCCATGTTTTGAATGGACCACACACCGGCACCTCATGAAAACCTCTGGATGTGTCCCCCATGGTGCCCAAGCCCTGCCAGATTACGGCACCAACACACACACACACACACACACACACACACACCACATGAAAACCTCTGGATGTGTCCCCCATGGTGCCCAAGCCCTGCCAGATTACGGCACCAACACACACACACACACACACACACACACACACACACACACAAACCCCCCTCAAACCAGTAACAAAACATTCCATTCTAAGAAATCAGAAAGAGAAGAGCAAACTAATGCCAAAGTGAGATGATATAGAAAATAATAGATTAAGGCAGAGATGAAAATGGAGAATGGGGGAAAAAAAAAGAGAAAAAGAAAAAAAATCAACAAAGCCAAAAGTTGGTTAAAAAAAAAAAATCAATGGTACCAAGGAAATAGCTCAAACGGCAATATTACCAAAACTGATTCAAAAAAGAGGAAAATCTGAACATAACCACAGTAAGAATGAATCTGCAAGTCAAAAGGAAAATCTTGGGATAAGTGGCTTTAATATATCAATTATTAATTAAGATTACCAATGATCTTTCTCAAACTCTTCCCAAATAATGGAAGAGGGAGGAGTACTTCTTAACTCATTCTAAAATGAGCACTGACATCAAATTCAGAGATCGTAAGAAAAGTGCACATCAACATTTTTATTTATAAACAGAGATGCAAATATTCTCAACAAACCAATTGCAATAGCATACTGAAAGAATTATACGCTATTACAAAAATATAGGAGTAGGGCTCAATATATAAAAATCAGTCAGTGCACTAAATGAATTAAGGAAAAGCAAACATTGTATCTCAATTTAGGCAAAAATATTTTTATGAGATCCTTTTAAAAACCTTTTGAACTCTATATACTTCCACCCCTACCACCAGCAAAGTACCGAACCCTCTGGTCCACCACAAACAACGCCCAATTTTTCCCACCCACCAGGCCCACCTGGTAACCTCAATTATGTTTTAAGAGTGCAAGGGTTTGTTTTCACTGGTCACTGAACAAAGAAAAACTTGAAAACATTATGCTAAGTTAAAGTCAGAAACAAATGATTCCATTTATATAAAATACAAAAAAAAGGTAAATAATACACAGACATAACAGAGAATAATTCAAGAACTGCAGAGAAAGGGCAATGAGTGACAAGTTAATGCATGGATATAAATTATTTGGGGGGAGGTAATAAAAAAATACTCTGAAATTCAGCACTAATGTCGACACAAGCTTTCAATATACTTAACTGTATAAACTAAATTACAGATTTTAAAATGGTTTCATACTGGGTGAATTTTACCTCTGTGGTGAAGAAAAGTACAATTTTTTCTACTAACCCGATGAATAATTCCAGCAGAATGAAGGTGCTTGATTCCACACAGCATCTGATAGAGAAGGTAGGACATCCTTTCATGATCTAGTTCCATCTGAATCACTTGGCAAAGATTTGCATCCATGAGCTCCATGACTATGTAACTTTACAAACAAGAAAAGATGATAACTAAAGTGTACAGCAATAATCAATTTAAAAATAATGTGTTAGTGTTAACAAAAACAAAAGACCACACTTACACATCTTGAAATTCTTCTAGGGATTTCTGTGGCGTGAAAACATTCAAAAGGCCAATTATCTGTGGTAAAAGCATATAGGAAAATTAGATACTGGTTTATCTGTTTTCATTTAGAGTCAACAAATACATTTTATGTTTTTATTTTGGTTTTTTTTTTTTTTTGCTTTTGCTTTTTGGGTCACACCCAGCGATGCACAGGGGTCACTCCTGGCCCATGCACTCAGGAATTACCCCTGGGGGGTGCTCGGGGGACCATATGGGATGCTGGGAATCGAACCTGAGTCGGCCACGTGCAAGGCAAATGCCCTACCTGCTGTGCTATCACTCCAGCCCCAAAAACAGGCTTTAAAAATATTCATAATTAATTTACAGTCTTTCTAACCTTATGTTTTACCTCAATTACTTTATATATGAACATTTTTGTCCGGCAAAATGAAGGGGAAGAAGGGAAGCAGAATTCAGAGGCTCACTTGAGTAATAAAATTGCTCTGTATTCTACTGTAATAATATGCATATCAACACACATTCATTTATTTTATTTATTTTATTTTATTTTTTTTTTTTGCTTTTTGGGTCACACCTGGTGATACACAGGGGTTACTCCTGGCTCTGCACTCAGGAGTTACTCCTGGTGGTGCTCAGAGGAACCATATGGGATGCTGGGAATCGAACCCGGGTCGGCCGCGCACAAGGCAGACGCCCTACCCGCTGTGCTATCTCTCCAGCCCCAACACACATTCATTTAAACCTATAAAATGTACAACACATAGAGTGAATTCTAACCAAACTATGGACTTGGAATGATTATAATGTGCTAATGTAGCTTTATAATTGTAACGAATTTTCCACTGTGGTGATGCCACTAATGGGTGTGGCAGCAGTTATACATGATTATCTCTGTATTATCTTCCACTAAGTTCTATTGTGAGAAGAATATTGCTCTTAAAAAAATCAGATTTTAACAACAATTAAAAAAAAAACAACCCAGATTAACAAATGCTTTACATAATCCGCTCTATGAACACCCCAATGATTGAGAACCTAATATTATGCAATCCACTACAGAATTTGTAAGCTTATTTTCAACACCTTCTTATCCAACTCAGTATCTAATCTCAGCCTGACACCTTTCCTCCAGCTTTTTATAATAGCATACTTTTCCAGTATTCCGCATTTCTAGTCCATTCCATGGCTTCTTTCACAGGCAAGCTGTTATTTGGTCTTCAACCCATTCTTTCTATCACTTTTTCTGAGTGATATTATCTATATCTATCATGCCACACACCCCTTGGGAACAATTCCCAAGTGTGCATTTAAAGCCCTAAGAGCTTATGCCTCTCAAATACATATTCTTTTTATCAAATGGAAGATTAACAAATAACAGGAAATTAAACTCATTATCACTCTTACTCAAATCCCTTATTTTCCAGAGTACTTTCGTTTTAACTAGAAGGCCCTGGGTTCAATCCCTGGTCCCCCGAACCCATCAAGAGTGACCTCTGAGGAGAACAGAAGTGAACAGAAGTTTCCTCAAAAAAGAAATACAATTGGCCAAAAGGCACATGAAAAAATGCTCCACATCGCTAGCCATCAGGGAGATGCAAATCAAAACAACAATGAGATATCATCTCACACCATAGAGATTGGCACACATTCGAAAGAACAAAAGCAACCAGTGCTGGCGTGGATGTGGGGAAAAAGGGATGCTCTTTCACTGTTGGTGGGAATGCCCACTAGTCCAGCCTTTCTGGAAAACAATACGAACAGTCCTTCAAAAACTAAAAATTGAGCTTCCATATGACCCCGCAATACCAATTCTGGGAATATATCCCAAGGATGCAAAAAAGCACAGTAGAAATGACATCTGTATCTATATGTTCATTGCAGCACTGTTCACAATAGCCAAAATTTGGAAATAACCCAAGTGCCCTAGAACAGATGACTGGTTAAAGAAACTTTGGTATGTCTACAAAATGGAATACTATGCAGCTGCCAGGAGAGATGAAGTCATGAACTTTGCTTATAAATGGACAGACATGGAGAGTATCATGGTAAGTGAAATGAGTCAGAAAGAGAGGGACAGACATAGAAGGACTGTACTCAATTGTGGAGTATGAAACAACATAGTATGAGGCTGACACCTAAGGACAGTAGATACGCAGGACAGATAGATTGCTCCATAGCTGGAAGCCTGCCTCATGAGCAAAGGGGAGAAGGCAGCTGGAATAGAGAAGGGATCACTAAGAAAAATATGGCTGGAAGAATCAGTCGGGATGGGAGATGTGTGCAGAAAGTACATAAAGGACCAAACATGATGACCTCTCAGGTTCTGTATTACAAACCATAATGCCCAAAAGTAGAGAGATTATGGGGAATCATGTCTGCCATGGAGGCAGGGAAAGGGTGGGAAAGGGGGGGTATACCGGGGAGATTGGTAGTGGGGAATGTGCACTGGTGGAGGGATGGGTGTTTGATCATTGTGCGATTGTAACCCAAACATGAAAGCTTGTAACTATCTCACAGTGATTCAATATTTTTTTTTTTTTTAAAAGAGTGACCCCAGAGTACTGAACCAAGAGTAAGCCTGAAAGCACCGGCAGATATGGTCTCCAAACCAAACAAACCAAAAAAGCGTAACAATCTGTTCTCAAAAATGTGAATATTAAATGCTCAAGTCTTAGGATAATTAGCAGATAGAACAAATTTTTCCCCCTGGGTCCATTTTAGTACTGCTTTAAAATTACCACTAAGGTCGAGATTAATACCAGGAATTTTGCTCCATGGCTTGGAGGCCAGCCACACGTGCTAGGGGGAAAGGGAGCTCAAATAGAGAAGGGAGCACCAAATAAAGGGTGTTGGGAGGATCCTCCTAGGATGGGAGAAGCATGCTGAAAGTAGACTGTAGATCGAATGTGACTGCCACTCAATGCCTCTTCTGCAAACCACAACAACCAAAAGGAAAGAGAGAGAACAAAAGGGAATGCCCTGCCACAGAGGCAGTGTGGGATGGGGGGGATGGGGGGATGGGAGGGATACCGGGACCGTAGGTGGTGGAAAATGGGCACTGGTGGAGGGATGGGTACTTAATCATTGTATAACTGAAACCCAAGCACAAAAATTTGTAAGTCTAACTGTACCTCATAGTGTTTCACTAATAAATATATATATGAAATTAAAAAAATTAAGACCTGATTTAAATACTGAAAAGAAAAATATGAAATAAAAAAAAATAAAGACCTGATTTAAATACTGAAAACAAAAATAAAATTACCACTAAACTGATTTTAATTACTGACTTTTTTCCATATTTAAAGTGACCAGTGAGTACTGACACCACTTGGTTGGGGCCAGAGAGATAGTATAATGAGTAGAGTGCTGGCCTGTAAGCAGATGATTCAGCTTGGATCTCTGGCACCCAAATGGTCCACTGAGACAGGATGATACCTGAGTACCGTGGGTATGGCCAGAATCAAAAAGGGAAAATAAAGATGTGGGGGTGGATTCTAGAAATGATTTGGATTTTATATCTAGTTCCAGTGACAAAGATAAATGGTTCAATTTCATCTCTGTAGTAAGGGTCCAGTTTTCTGACATCAGCATGACTGACAAAAAAAAGTTGGGACTGAAATAAAGTTGTTTTTAGAATATCTGCCCTTTGAAAGTGCATTTGTTGGGCCTGAGAGATAGTCCTGCGGTTAAGAAGCTTGCTTTGCATGCTGTGAACCATGATTTGGTCCTTGGCACAAGATGGTTCTCCTTTGAGCACCACCAGGAGTGACCTTTAGCACAGAGCTATGCCAGGTATGGCTTGGCATAGTAGCCCGTAGTAGCCCGTAAGTGATGCCTGTAAAGTGTGGCTCATGTCGTCCCCCCCCCCCCCCCCCCCGCAAAATTAACTAAAACAAAAATAATTTCTTTGGCAAATTCACTATCAGAAAACTACACAATCTGAAATAATTTTTATTTGATAAGAGTTGTGGCAAAATTCAATGAAAATAAAACATTCCTTTGAAAGGTTTAATCCAAATCAATTTAAAGCAAAATATTCTAGGCTGCCCACGAATGGCTCCTCTGGCTCCTGAACGGCCATGAGCCCAGAGGCACACAAACCAATCTCAGAACCTTTTCATTATCAGCAAGCACCGCAGCACTGTCCTCCCGTTGTTCATCGATTTGCTCGAACGGGCACCAGTAACGTCTTAAGACTTCTTGTTACTGTTTTTGGCATATTGAATATATCACGGGTAGCTTGCCAGGCTTTGCCGTGTGGGCAAGATACTCTCGGTAGCTTGCCGGGCTCTCCGAGAGAGGCAAAGGAATCGAACCCGGGTCGACCGCGTGCAAGGCAAACGCCCTACCCACTGTGCCATCGCTCCAGTCCGATTACCAGCAATAGAAAACAAATTATCTTATGATGCCTTTTCGGCAGGTCTGATTGTGGGGGGAAAATTCCAAATAATAATGGTGATTCTTCTGTTAAAAAATTCAATGTAATCAAAGTAGAGAGAGAGTAAAGTGAAAATCATCTGCCACACAGGCAGGGGGAGGAGTGGGATGGGGGTTTTTGGTGGTGGAAAATGTGCACTGGTGGAGGGATGGGTGTTTGATCACTGTATGACCGAGACTTAAACCTGAAAGCTTTGTAACTGTTCTCACGGTAATTCAATTAAAAAAAAAAAAGCTTTTTTTAAACCATAAAAAAAATTATAAAGCAAAATATTCTATATTTTTATGCTTTATAAATTAGCTTTTATAATCCTGCTTTCATAAATCTTGATTTTATGTATGCTTATGTATTTTTAAATGCTCACTTACATTTTTGTGATTAACACATTTCATAAGAACTAGTTCTCTGTAAGCCCGCTTAGCATGAGTCTGATTCTGAAATGGTCGACTTAGCTTCTTGATTGCAACATTTCTTTCAAGAATGGCATCATAAGCGGCACTGTAATAGAATTTAAAAATCAAAACTGTGAAAATGAACTTATGGAAAATCATAAGTAGATTCCTCTCTTCCTCCAAAAATAAATGTAACTGGATCAAATTTCAGTCCTTGACACTGTCACATTTCTTCTTTAACTATTACAATAAGGGTAAGAGACAATAAGGATAGCAGTACAGTTAACTTCCTTAAATTGCCAATAGAGTAAAAAAGAACAGACAAGAGCAATAGTACAGGGCATTTTCCTTGTACCCAGATGAAACAAGTTTGAACCCTGGCATCCCATAAGGTCTCCTGAGCACTGCCAAGAGTGATTACTGAGTACAGACCCAGCAGTAACCTCTGAGCACCACTGGAATTAACCAGCATGCTACTTACTCTTTCTTGATTTAGTTATTTGCCTTGAAAAGGCTTATGACTTAAGAGTTTAATCATAATTTAAAGATGGCAATCTTCATTTATAATATTACGCTTTATGAAAAATAATCTGAGAGCAATAATTCCTGAGCAAGCAAGACTATAGCTTTAATGCAATTCCAATGCTTTCAACTTAATTTTTTTAGGCAAGTTATGTATTTACCAAAGTTATCTACAATATTAGAGAAGAAAAAAGGAGCAGTTAATAGCATTACAAAGTAAAAACTTACCATACTATTCCTTGAGCTCCTGAGCCTATAGGTTTTAAGTTTTGATAACGTTTCAGGACGGTGAATGTAGAATCTCCAATCTCTACACTATAAAAGTTGCTGTCGCGCTTGCTTCTGCTCATGATGGCAGCAATTAATTTAATGGCTTCATCCAAATATTCACCAAGAAGCTGCAAAATAAAACGTGACGTTAAAACAAATTCATGTTTAATGATTTTAAAAATCAAGTCCTCACCTGTTCACTGACAATTATAGATGGCTAGATCAAAAGAGCTGCTTGATTAAATAGCACTATTAGAATTTTAAAAATAACACAGATCCTTGTTAAATTGTTACATGTAAGAAAATAACCTTCTTAGAAACAAAAAATTACTAGAACAGTTTCTTCATTTTAAAAGTCATTTATTTTAAAAATTTTTTTGCTTTTTGGGTCACAACCGGCGATGCACAAGGGGTTACGCCTGGCTCTGTGCTCAGTAATTACTCCTGGCAGTACTCGGGGACCACATGGGATGCTGGGAATCGCACCTGGGTTGGCCACGTACAAGGCAAATGCCCTACCCACTGTACTATCTCTCCAGCCCCACAAGTCACTAATACAAAAATATAATTTTACTGGAAGACTTTTTAAAAAATCAAATAATATAGTTAAAACAAAGTTTAAAGTGCTTATGTAGTTTTAAAATATACAATTATCTGTAGGTGGAGAATGGGCACTGGTGGAGGAATGGGTACTTGATCATTGTATAACTGAAACCCAAGCACAAAAATTTGTAAGTCTACAACTGTACCTCATGGTGTTTCACTAATAAAAATTTAAAGAAATATATACAATTATCCTTTTATGGTCTTAAAAGTACTAAAACCTAATTTTTGTGACAGGTTGATATAAAAATAATTTACAAACTCACTAAATGAGTTTGTAAAAGGTAGAAATAACAAAGGTGACTGGTGTGTACTACCCCTATTTATCACAAATTAGCAGAGTGGTGTCAATGTAAGAGTCCCCAACCCCATATCTGCTTAAATGCATAGTTTGAGCCATGTAAAAAAGTGTAAAAATCAGGGAACGATAGAGATGAAACAAGATATGAGAAAGATAAAAAAATACTAAGATGATGTAAGTTAAATTTGACAGAGGCATTTAGTCTGCGAGGATATGAAACAAGATACTGTTCTAAAATGTTTGAAGCATCAGAAGCATGGCTCAAGTTGGGACTATAGTCCCATGTCTGATTAAAACCCAAGACAATCTTTATTTTTTTTTCTTTTTTGGGTCACACCCAGCAATGCTCAGGGGTTATTCCTGGCTCTGCACTCAGGAATCACTCCTAGGGATGCTGGGGGTACCATAAAAGATGCCAGGGATTGAACCCAGGTGGGAAGTGTGCAAGGTAAATGCCCTAATGCTGTACTATTGCTCCAGCTCAAGACAATCTTTTTTTTTAATGAAACCTATTTAAGCACTGGTAATTAATAAAACTCTTATTCATCATTGTTAAAGTGGCCAATTGTAAAAACATGCTAAGGCAGCTCCAAAATACTCCCTACATCCTTTTTATATGCCATCACTAGACTTTAATATATAATCTTTTTGACCTGGGCTGCTTTCACGACAGGTAAATATTAACCTCTAAAAATGACAGCTCTGAGGTCAGGGGGATAGCTGAAAGGGAAATGTGTATGCTAGCAAGTGCGAGGCCCACGTCTAATTCCCCAGCACCCCAGGAAGTCTCTTGGAGCAACCCCCAAGCACTGCCAGCGGTGGCCTCTTAGTCTCCCAAGATGGAAAAAAAGAGAGGGAGTTAGATATATAGGGAGCACTGTGAAACTGGACTCAACTAAGCCTGATTACTTTTACAATACAGTAAGAGCTTCTTAGCCTCACACCTGAAGTCACTAATTCAGAATGCACATTAAATTCAGTTGATATTTAATATCACTTGTCATAAACCCACAAGCTGGTATCTACAACAGATTTTAACTACCATTATATAAATGCATCTATTTACATTCCATTTATTTTTTCCCATAATATACTTCAATAGCACAGCATGTAGGGCATTTGCCTTGCAAGTGGCCATCAAGGCCAACCTGAGTTCGATTTCTCTGCCCCTCTCGGACAGCCCGGCAAGCTACCAAGAGTATCTCGCCCGCACAGCAAAACCTGGCAAGCTCCCCGTGACGTATTCGATATGCCAAACACAGTAACAACAAGTCTCACATTGAAAATGTTACTGGGCCCGCTCGAGCAAATCAATGAACAATGGGAGGGGAGGACAGGACAGAACAGGACAATTATTTTTGAAGTAATTAACATAAAGACTACTATGTCATATCATACATTAAGCTCCAACAACATATTGGTCTACAATTTGAGAGAGGTAGACAAACTGAGAGAAATAGAAGGGTGTATTTTAGGGTAGCTTTTCCTTGTTAGACAAGAGCCTGAGAAAGAGAACCGCTGTAGTTTGGAGAAATTAGCAACTACTGTCACTCATTTTCACTCTCTCAATGGGATTTTGCACACTGGTACCCATGGAAACTATGAGTCTAAAGGGCTGCAATACTTCCTTCCCTCCCCATTTAAATCCAGATAAGGAGTTGGTATATTCCTTCTTCTGCTCCCTTTCACAGGCATAAAAAGTAGGACCTCTCAAAAGTGATGCCATAAACAAAACCAAAAGAATAATTTTCACTAAGAAGGTAACAAGGGATATTCCCTGTTTTGTTTTCCCTCAGGAGAGGAAAAAATAACAACTCTACGGAGAAAAGAACCATGCTGAGAGAATATTACAGCATGATGATGCTGCTGAAGCCCGCCTTCACATCAAAGAAGCAGAAGAGATTTTGAGGAGATTCAAGCATCTCTACAGTGGAAGATGAGTAGATTTCTTTTCAAAGAAATTGGAAAGTGGCAGTTTGAGGAGTTGCAAAGAGCAGGGTTATCTAAAGGCCTGCTGGGCTCAAGTCCTGAGCTGGGAAGAATGTATACGGTGCGAAATTCCTGCATTTTCTGAGGTGAAGCCCCAAGCAGAGAAACTGAAGGGTGGGACTCAAACAAGATGGGCAGCAAAGAACATTCTACATTATAATCAGCTTCCACCATCCTTCATTCAGCATGGTGCTGACAGTGAAATGTTTTAAGAGCTAATAAACAGTTGAGTGTCAAAACTGAGATAACTCAAATAAGGGGAAGAATGGGGCCAAAGCCACCCATGCAAACCAGGCCTTCCCCATCATACCCAGAGCAGAAGCTAGTTTCTCCACGCATCTCATCTTTCCCACTGACACAGCAGCAATTCCTCCATTCACCATGCCCTGTTTGCTTGGGGCACCTAAAGTAGCCAGCAGAAAAATTAATTAAGCCAACTTTACCTGTGTGTGGAAACAATAACAACTGAGCCCTACATCATTAGCCAAGATAATTTGAAAGGAGGCAGAGAGGGGAAAAACACTATCACCAAAATCTTGAGATTTCAGGTAACATGACATTAGAAGTGAAGCAACTCTCCAGAAAATAATCCTAAATACATGGAATTACAAAACCATATGGAGACATTGGGTGGAGGCACTTCAAAACAGCCATCTAAAGAAATCAGAAGATACCAGAAAAACAATTTAATGATCTCAAGAATAAAATGAATGCGCATAAGAGACTGACACTGTAAATAGGGATCTAACAAAAATAAAGAATATGAAGAATTAAGTAAAGGAGATCAAGAATCAAACAAAGCTATGGAAACACACCTAATGAAGATATGAATCAAAGAGGGGGGAAAAAAACCTTTTTAAAATGCAGAAATAGTATAAGATTCCAATTCCATTAAGAAAGGCAGTATTAGGGACCAGAGATATTGGTCGGTGGTACAGTGCTTGCCTTGCATGTGTGGGGACTAGGTTTGATCCCTTGCGCTCCACCACCCTCGGCGTCCCCAAGAAGGTGCAATATTGCAATGAGTATCCCAGAAGATGATTAAGAAGAATGCAAAGAGCTTATTGAAAGAAATAGGTAAGGAATTGAATAAATGAATATAAAAGTGTATGAGTTAAGCAGAACACCTGATTATCTGGATACAAAAGAGACCTCAAGATGGGTATTAGTGAAAATATCAAAAATCCAACAAAAAGAATATTAAAACAACAAATAATTTACAAAGGTACAAGCTACCTACAAAGAACAGGTAGTTTTGTTTTGTTTGTGAAAACAAACAACAGCAGATAACTTACAAAGGTACAAACTACTTATAAATTTCTCTAAACCCTACAGGACAGAAAAGAAGTGAATAACAGACTCAAAATACTCAAAGATTAAAAACTGCCAGCCAAGAATATTTTAAATTACAAAGCAAGGGATTATACAATCCTTATTGGAATCAAATCCTGAGATATGGCCAAAGAATCGTGATACAGGATACCGACAGGCCAGGGAGGGAAGGAAAGACTGTGGGATAATGATCAAGAGATTCTGGCTCTCTGGCATGGGCATGGCGGAGCAGCACTGCAAGTACAAAGGGGGTATCACTAGTACAGTGATTGAAAAAAAATGACACATATAAAAAGAAGTATTTAAAAATCAATAAAACTAAAGCTGGAGTGCTAGCTCCAACATCTGAGTGACTGCTTTGCATGCAGGAGGTCTGGGTTTGATTTGCAGCAACCGAAGGTCCCCTAAACACCAATGGGGGCAACCTACAAACACAGAGTCAAAAGTAGATCCTGAGCACCTCTGGATCTACCCCCTCCCCCCCCCCAGTCCCCCAAGAAATACTGAAAGGAAAAAAATCCTGTCTTGCGAAACGCTTTCAGATAAGGGGAGAAATAAAGCCTTACCTAAATAAACAAAAGCTGAAGGAGTTCATCACCATTATATCTCCCTTATCAGAAATGCTGAAAGGAGCTCTTCTATCTAAAAGCAAAACAAAAACAAAGAAAAAAAAAGTTCACCAAAAATTGAACAAGGCAATAAATAAACATAAATATAAACACAATTTAGAAAGCAAACATAAAATGATAGTAACAAGACCTTTATATATAATCACCTTATAAAACCCAGCTCCCGGAAGCGTGCGGCCACATTTGCGGCCGCGCGACATCTTATTATCTAGGTCTTACTCTGGAGAACCTGGCAGGCTACCAAAAGTATCCTGCACACATGGTAGAGTCTGGCAAACCCCCCCCATGGCGGATTCAATATGCCAAAAACCAGTAACAATGATGGGTCTCATTCTCCTGACCCTGAAAGAGCCTTGATTGTGGCACTTTCTAAAATCTCAGGGCTAGGACGAAGGAGACGATACTGGTGCCTGCTCGAGGAAATCGATGAACAACCGGATGACAGTGAAATGTAAACTGTCTGCACTCACCAGTCAAAAGATCAAGAGTGGATGGGTTGATTGAAAAAGAAAAGAAAACCCACCTTCAAAGGAAAAACAGTATAAAGACAGAGATAAAGGACAGAAGAAAACGATGCTACAAGCCAAAGTAAAAATTTGAAAAGCAGAAATTGCTGTCACAAAAATTCCAGCCATAAAAAGCAGAGGCAAAGGAGAACATCATATGATAAAGAGGCCACTAAAAAGGAGATTAACACTACTATTATACATATGCCCAGCACTGAGACACCTAAAAGCATAAATTAACAGACCTTAGAGACCCTGACAACACAGCAAATAGCAAGGAAACAAAACAGAGGCATTACACTTTTTTGAATAATAAAGCAGCATGCTGATAGAATAAAAAGGTATGCGAGTTGAGACAGAAATACCTTCACACATTTCTGAACAAATAATTCATGACAAAAGAGCCACAACTCTACAATGGAGTACACAATGTCTTTTGAGGGCTGGAGAGATAGGACAGCAGGTAGAGCACTTGCCTTGCATGAGGCCAATCAGAGTTTGGGCCCCAGTACCCCATATCATCCCTTGAGTACCACCAGGAATGATTCCTGAGTGCAGAGTTAGGAGTAACCCCTGAGGATCACTGGGTGTGACCCAAAAAGAAAAAAAAAGAGCAATAAATAATAAATGGTGTGGGTAAAAATGGAATAGTTAATTGCAACAGAGTAAGAAAACTAGACAATATCTTACATAAAAATTATCTCACAGGAGATTAAAGACACGGATGTAGGATTGAAACCATAAAATACATGAAAAAAAAACCCATAAGTTGGTGTGCTTCCTGACACTGGCTGTAAAGATATCTTTGGGAATTTGGCTCCTATGGCAAGGAAAACAAATGTAAAAATAAAGGAGTGAGACTACATTAAATAAAAAAGTTTCCACACAGCAAAAGAAATACCATCAAAATAAAAATGCATCCTACTGACTGGGAGAAGATAGTCACAAAGTCACAAATTGTACATCTAATAAGAAATTAACATCCCAATTCAATCAGCCTAATCAGTGGCTGAATAAATAGCAGTACTCCTACATTAAAAAAAAAAAAAAGAAGTTAACATCCAAATACACAAAATGAATTTCTACAACTCAACAACAAAGAGTCCAAGCAACCCAATTTAAAAATACAGATGGGAGAAACAATAGCTCAGTGCTCAGGAGTTCAATTTCTGGCATCACAAGTCCTCCAACCCCAGTCAGCACAAGGAGGTATAGCCCCGGAGGTCTCCAGAGCACTGTTGGGTGGAGCGGGACCCACACAGTCAGGCCCAAGCAATGAACCAGATTATCTAGCCTAGATGGCTAAATATCTCCAGGAGTAATCCCTTAATCTTTATTCTTGAGCACTGCTTGGGAGGCTCCCTGCAAAATCGAGGAAGGAAAGAAAGAGGTCCTGAAGAGACACCTCCAAATAAGACAAAGATGGACAATAACCAAGGAAAAGGCATTTAGAAATACAAATCCTGGTATACAGAACCAGAAGTAGCCCGTGAGCAGTGCCAAGAATGCCCCTACCCTCCAAAAGTGTGTCAGAAGGCAGAAAAGAAGGAAATTCTGTTGATGGGAATATAAACTGTGCTGCAGCCATATGGTCAACAAATCATAATCCTCACAACAAATTATTCATAAAGAGTTAGATATAAGCGCATTAAAGAAAATGAACCCAGGAGACAAGAACAGAATTTCCTACCTATCCATAATCTTTAAAGCTGAGTGGGCACGGGCTGGCGGGGGGGGGGGGGGGATAGCACAGGGGCTAGGGTGTTTGCTTTGCACGTGGCCGACCCGGGTTCGATTCCCAGCATCCCATACGGTCACCCAAGCACCGCCAGGAGTAATTCCTGAGTGCAGAGTCAGGAGTAACCCTTGTACATCGCCAGGTGTGACCCCAAAAAGCAAAATAAATAAGGAGAAAAAGCTGAGTGGAGTGAATATACATCTATATATTTTCCTCTTGCTTTTATCTAGTGTTTCTCCAATTTAAATATGCTTAGAAATTAATATACAGGAGAGCATGCATACATGAAAGGTTTTTTTTAAAGAGAGAACTTTGAGTGATTTAAAATTTGGTGGTGACTTTTGTTCAGTGTACACAGATTCTGCTCTAAAGAATGTCCAAAAGCTTCCCTCAAAATCATCTCTGAAAATTCAGTCACAAGGTAACAGTATAATAAATAACATAATGCCCATTCTATTTAAATTAGAACCATACTAGATACAAGATGGTGACAATTGTATAAAAGACACATATAAATGAGTAAAATGGAGAGGAATGGATTCCTCCAAGAACATGCACTAACTGAGATGAGGAGAAGTATCTATATTACTGAGTTAAAAAAAATTTATCTACAATACATGAATAAATGGATATTCAAAGTTAAATTCACAAATGAAATACAAATATTAATGATTCTCTAGGAACAGGTTAGAATTTAAAAAAATTAACTCAATTCAGACTTTATTATGGAACTCGGGTCGGCCATGTTGGCCGCTTGTAAGGCGAACGCCTTACCGCTGTGCTATCGCAATATTTATTAGGGCTGGAGCGATAGCACAGCGGGTAGGGCGTTTGCCTTACAAGCGGCCAACATGGCCGACCCGAGTTCGATTCCTCCGCCCCTCTCGGAGAGCCCGGCAAGCTACCGAGAGTATTCGATATGCCAGACACAGTAACAACAAAGTCTCCAATGGAGACGTTACTGGGCCCGCTCGAGCAAATCGACGATCAACGATCAACGCCTTTACTTTTACCTTTACCAGACTTTATTATAGAACCCCCAGATGTCCAACTTCTGAGTGACACCCAGGGTCACGTGTGATGAGATTCTAAAATGGGTGATAATGAGAAAGGCAAGAAGATTTTGTCTAGAAGTGCACTCGGTGCTATATCACGAAGGGAGGCAAACACAAGACTGGGCCAACACTCCATCGTCTGTTTAGACAAAAGACAGGTCAGGCCACTGGATTCTCTTCCCCCAGTGCCAACAGGAACAAGAACAAGTCACCACCTGGGAAGAGAATGTGCTAATGGAGTATTTGGAAAGTTCTAAGTACATCCCTGGAACAAAAATGATCTTCACTGACATTAAGAAGAGCGAAAGGGCAAGACTGATAGCTTACCTCAAAAATGCTGCGAAATATTTGGAGGCACAGTCTTGTTTATTACAAAATAAATGTCTCATACTTTTTATGTGAACCATATTTAAGCCCATGTCATTTACCATAATTGGTAAATGGGACCATTCCTGAACCTGGGTCAGCCCGCAAGGCAAGCACTCTTTCTCCTGTGGTATTTTTTTTCCAGTTCTGGGTTTCTCACTACTTTTCAAATATGAAATATAGGAGCTGGTAAGTAGACCTCAATACATTAGTTCATCAAGCATCAAAATGGAAGTAATCTCCCATCAATATGGAAGTAGGCCCCAATCACCATTTAATATGGTTCAGAAACCACATAAATAAATAAACATGAAACATGACAAACTTTAGAGACTGGAACCTTTTACAGGCATATTAACATTTTGTCAGTTGAAATCTGAGATTCTAAAATTATCTGGAACTCAAAATGGCAAACATCTCAAAATACTTCGGAAACCAGCTTTGGGTACTTAACTATCTAGATTACTAAATACGGTGACTAAAATGCATGCCAGGGGAAGTGGGCATGCTGGTGGAGGGTAAAGTGCTAGAACATTATATGCACGAAACACTATCAATAACAGCACTATAGATCACAGTGCCTCAAAAGCAAATTTTTAAAAAGTGGAGTCAGAGAAATGGTAGAATGGATAAAGGGTAAGGCACTTGCTGTGCATGCGGCCAACCTTAGTTCGATCCCCTACTATATGGTGCGCCCCCGACAAATGCGCCCCCATCTGCCCAAACCCCCAAGCCCTGCCAGGAGTGACCCATGAGTTCAGACCTGATTAAGCTCTGAGCACTGCGTGGTGTGGCCCAAAATACAAAAAACAAACAAAAAACCCCCAAACAACACACACACAACAACTAAGATGAAATTTATAAATAGGTAATCTAATTTACAAGACTGTATTACTTCCTAAGATATGCAAAATATCTTTTCACTTGAAAGCTAAGGAAAAGTCACACTTGTATTCTTAGAAAATTTCCAAGTCCTTATTGAAGAAAAAAAACACCAATAAACATTTTTTATAATATAGTACCTTCAGCTACAAGTCTCACAATTTATTGTGAGACATTACTGGTTCCCGCTCGAGCAAATTGATGAACAACGGGAGGACAGTGCTACAGTACCTTCAGTTAAATTTCAGTTTGTACCACAATGACGGTACAAAATAACAACCCTTAATAAGAGATTCAAATAAATACAGTTTTCTAGTAACTTTTATCAAGTCTTTTAGTAAAGACTTGGTAAAACGATTCTCAGGTTCACAAGAGAAGAAAACGTTGATCACATTAAACTGCCACCAGAGATGCTTTCCTAAAACCACAAATTAGTAATTGCAAATGAGAACTGTCCCAGATGCAT